GGTAAAAAGTGGTAGCCAGGATTTGAAGCCAGGCAGTCTAGCTGTAAGTTCTATTATGCCATTATGTGGCATTAGTTCTCAAGATAGCAGAAAACAATTGTGTGAATAGCTCTGTGATTACCAACCCTGGAAACTCAGTAGCATCGCCTTGGGTAGGGAATATGGGAGGCTAAAAACATATTTGGATGTCTGGGACCCACTCGAACTTCATCATGTATATTTTCTAAAAGACCCATAGGTGATTCTCTTCTTGCAAACCGGGTTAAGAACTACTGAAATGGATGAACCATCAACTTCACTTTATAAACGAAAGAGCAAGAAAGACCTTTTTATTTAATGGATCTGGCTTTGATAGAGAAAACATGAGTTGAAAAAGGGCAGATATAGACGGAGAATCCCAAGCAGGCTCCATGCTGTTAGCACAGAGCCCAATGCAGTGCTCAAACCAGGAACCCTGAGATCACGACCACAGCTGAAATCAGAAGTTGGATGCTTAACTGACTGAGCCACCCAGGTGCCCTGCAGCAAAAATTTTGAAGAGATAGTCTGTATTCTGAGCAGTCTCTTCAAAAACTTTGGAATAAAGGAAGGATTAAAACGAGCACAGTGTCATAGTGATAAAACAGTCATGAGAATAATCATGATTTCAAAAAACCAAGTCACATACAGACCCTAAGCTTGTCACTCGTCTTTCAACAAAAGACAACATTTGTAGCCGTGGGGAGTTATTTACCTATATTCAAGAGAATGCAGAAATATAAGTCCAGAATGAATAAGGCAGATACCGGTTACACTTTCCATTAACAGAGATGGGAAGAAATGCCATTGTAAAAATGCCACCCTTGCAGTTAAAAGTATAGCTGCCACCTACTCCATTTTCACTGCATAAAAAAGAATGTCCTTTGTAACCTATGCTTTGTGGCCAAAACAATGCAAAATATCTTTAACAACTTTAGGTTTTGATAGAAGATCACAGAGATTAAAAGTTAATTTACTGTGTCCTCAAAAACGAGACTTTATTTGGAGGAGAGAGAACACGAAAAAAGGAGCAAGAAAAAGATTAAATGAAAGAAGCTTAGTAAAGTATTACCAAATAATGAATTAAACGAACATGTATTTTTCTTGAGAGGTACTGATTTCACATGCAGACACATATATGATGCAGTGCTTTCAACCCTCCCTTTCAACCTTTTCAATTATTTTAGTTCCTGGAGTTTCCCAGATGGACAAAGGATTTAGCAAATTATAAAAACCACATATGTGAATTGCTCACTGGATGCCTCATTGTATATCTCATTCACATCAACACTGCCGGGTACAGTCATGTTAGGTTCCTGAAAAAAAAAAGCCAAGTTCCTGAAAAAAAAAAAAAAAAAAAGGTTGTCCTTTTCCCAATAATGGTTCAGATGCCTCAGATCCTTTGTGGCAAGTGGATCTAACGAATTAAATTAATATTATACACCCTCAAAACCTGCCCATGCTTATTCTTGCACTAACGTCAAACTGATTTGCTAATGAAGTGACTTCATAAAGTAGTAGTTATAGTTCCTACTTATATTTCACTACCAAGTTCTTAACTTTAGGGAATAAACTGCTGTTTGTGTACAGAAACTCACTCTTTCACCTAATTTTTATCTTGACTGCCATATGGCATATAGTCCTTAGCCCCTGTGTGGCTTATTTTTTTCTATCTCTTTGAGCTTTGTAATTTTATGGAGCTTTTTTACAGTTTGAAACCGTAAAATTGCTCCTCAAGAATTTGGACAACTAACCCCACATGAATTTGAATAAGCAAAAAGGACATCATTCTGTATAGTCTTCTAAGGATTTTCATTTGTGAGATGTTATACTAAGTTGCTTGATGCTAAGGGGAAATCTACCAAACATTATGGAAAGTGATAACAAAAAAAGGAATAATAATAATCTGGAATTACAATAATTTGGACAGGTTGTAAGCTGACATCTTCCCCAACATGACACAAGTAGTTCAAAAAAGCAGGCTAAACAAATTAATACTCCGCATAAAGTTACAGAGCAAATTTCTTTAAAATAAATATTTTCCGGCATTTTAAAAGCAGCTGCTGATCTACAGGGGATGCTGCTTTGAGGGAACTGAAGGGTGTGTCTGAGAAAAGTCATGCACAGAAGTCACCAGGGCTCAGCTTTCTCCCTTAAACTGCACTCAGTGGTGTCTGAGCTTGCCAGGCAGACCTGGGGCTGGCAGGTGTACATGGAGTCAGCTTTGCAGAGGGCTCCAAGGTCTCAATTTTGAGGCACAGTTTCAGAACACTGCCATTTTAACCTCATTTCCAGTTGGATTTTCTGTTTTTTTAAGTGTTTTTTTTTTAATGTTTATTCATTTTTGAGAGAGAGAGAGAGAGAGAGAGAGAGCACAAGCGGGGCAGGGGCAGAAAGACAGGGAGACACAGAACCCAAAGGAGGCTCCCTGCTCCAAGCAGACAGCAAGAGATCCCAATGAGGGACTGGAACCCACAAACCATGAGATCATGACCTGAGCCTAAGTCAGACACTTAACTGACTAAGCCACCCAGGGGCCCCTCCCAGTTGGATTTTCAAATCCAGCTTTACCAGCTATTAATACACTGACTCTCCTCATTTTGTTTTTTTTTTTTTTTCAGTATGTGTGTCCACTTTCTACCACTTAGAACTCAGAGAAGATTCATTGACTCCTAACTTTAAATGGTCACCTTAGGCAAACTGTTTTGCCTCCCTACATTTTCATATGTAAAATGAGAGATTGCTCAATACTAGAGTTGCTTCCAGCTACTGCATTTACAACTTTCCTAGGTAACACATTTTTTAAAATCCAAATTCAACCAGTTATAATCAAAACTGGCCAAATGTGCATTGCTTTAAAAACAAACACTAAAAATGGGGCACCTGAGTGGCTCAGTCGGTTAAGCGTCCGACTTGGCTCAGGTCATGATCTCATGGTTGGTGAGTTCAAGCCCCATGTCAGGCTCTGTGCTGACAGCTCAGAGCCTAGAGCCTACTTCAGATTCTATGTCTCCCTCTCTCTCTGCCCCCACTCCCTCTCTATCTCTCTCTGTCTCTCAAAAATAAATAAACATTAAAAAAATTAAAAACAAAACCAAACACTAAAATTATATCCAGGTCTTCAACAGAGATTGTGCAAACTTGTGAGAATTTAAAATTGAGATTAAAAATAAACTTCTCATTTATACTATTTCTCTCTTCTCCTTTAAGATAGATAGTAGATTGGGGCTCCTGGGTGACTCAATTGGTTTAACATCAGTTAAGCATCTGACTCTTGATATCAGCTCAGTTCATGATTTCACAGTCATGAGATTGAGCCCTGCATCAGGTTCTACACTGACAAGCACAGAGCCTGCTTGGGATTCTCTCTCTCTCTCCTTCTTTCTGTGCCCCTCCCCAACTCATGTGTGTGTGCATGTTCTCTCTCTCTCTCTCTCTCTCTCTCTCTCTCTCTCTCTCTCTCTCTTAAATAAATAAACTTAAAAGGAAAAAAATATTTTAAAAAGATAGTAGATCAAATATTTTCTTTCCATTAAAGGAATTTTACCAACATCATTATTACTTTATTATACCATCTAGGTACAGATTCATCTGGAAAATTCAAAAGGGAAAATTCAAAAAAAAGGCTGTAAGAAAAGATATATGGATCCAGTACGTATTCATGAAATAAAAATCCCACAGCCTGTCATGTCCAAAGCTGGATTGGTGTGAATAAAAAACTCAAATATAATTGTACACCCCACCCAAAAACAAAACAATCTAGTTAAAAAATAGGCAGAATACGTGAACACAAATTTCTCCAAAGAAGACATCCACATGGCCAACAGACACATGAAAAGATGCTCAACATCACTCATTATCAGGGAAATGAAATGCAAACCAAAACCACAATGAAATGTCACCTCATACGTGTCAGAATGGCTAAAATCAACAACAAAAGAAACAAGTGTTGGTAAGGATGTAGAAAAAAAGGAGCCCTCATACACTGTTGGAGGGAATGCAAACTGGTGCAGCCACTCTGGAAAACAGCAGTGGAGATTCCTCAAAAACTTAAAAATAGAACTACCCTATGTTGTAGTAATTTCACTACTAGGTATTTATCCAAAGGATACAAAAATACTAATTCAAAGGGATACATGCAACCCAATGTTTATAGCAGCATTATCAATAATAGCTAAATTATGGAAGCAGCCCAAGCCCAAGTGTCTATCAACTGATGAATGGATAAAGATGTGGCATATATATATATATATATATATATATATAAATGTATATAATGGAATATTACTCAGCCATAAAAAAGAATGAAATCTTGCCATTTGCAACAACATGTAGCTAGAGAGTATTATGCTAAGAGAAGTAAATCAGAAAAAGACAAATACCATATGATTTCACTCATGTGGAATTTAAGAAAAAAATGAACAAAAGAAAAAAGAGAGAAAGACAAATAAAGAAACAGACTCTTAACTATAGAGAACAGATCCCCAAGGACAGGTGGGGGGAGGAGTGAGTGAGATAGATGATAAGGATTAAAGACCACACTTACTTATCATGATGAGGACTGAGTAATGTATAGAATTGCTGAGTCACTATATTGTACACCTGAAACTAATATAACACTGTATGTAACTATACTGGAATTAAAACTTAAAAACTTAATAAACAACAGCAATTGCAACAATCGCAAACTATTCCAACAATATATTTTTGCATAAGAAAGGAAAAGGATTGGGGCGCCTGGGTGGCGCAGTCGGTTGAGCGTCCGACTTCAGCCAGGTCACGATCTCGCGGTCCGTGAGTTCGAGCCCCGCGTCAGGCTCTGGGCTGATGGCTCAGAGCCTGGAGCCTGTTTCCGATTCTGTGTCTTCCTCTCTCTCTGCCCCTCCCCTGTTCATGCTCTGTCTCTCTCTGTCCCAAAAATAAATAAACGTTGAAAAAAAAAATTTTTTTTTAAAAAAAAGAAAGGAAAAGGATATAAAAGAGAAAGTAATTCATCTTTTGAACACCTAGAGGTGTTAAATATTATGGCAGAGACATTTATACATCCATGCAATTGAAATCCTTTCAACAGTTTTGTGATGTAGACTTTTTATACTCCCATTTTTATAGAGAAGTCAAGTCGGAGAGGCTGAATACGTGCTCAAGAATACACTGTTAGTAAGATCTAGAGTTTGAATCCCGACCTGATGACCTTGGAACCCAAGTCTTTTCCAAACCATTCCTGCCATGTGCTGCCTTGGGCGGCAGTGGTGGTGGTGGTGCACAGTGCATGATGCAGTCCCCTGCACAGTACGGTGACAGGGCGATTTTCCACTTCTAGCAGGATAAAGTGCCTTTATACTCTCATCTTCTGTACTCTTTTTTAAAAAAACATCTATTTAGTCATAAGCCTCACATCCTCAGGAAGAAAGTATCCCATCATTCTCGGACTGTTGTTTCCTTAAATGTTAGGTGGAATGAGGTCACACATCAGGCCCATGGCAGCTGCTCTTTGTTTAATGTTTGATAATGCATTTGTCTTAAGGTCAAATGGAATTATTACCAGAACCATGCTGAAATGTAAAAGACAAATGGAAAAGTGACAAAAATCAGAGGTTTGGGTCAGAACTAAATAATAATAATAATAATAATACGGAATGGATTTGATGTAGAAAATGCAAAACCTGTAGACAAAAAAAAAAGCAGTATTAAATGTACAAGAGTCATAAAAACTTGTTTAAAATGGAGATTTCAGTCATGCAAGGCAAAGGAATCAAATTAAGAAAAACTTGTCTTCTTTGCTATAGAGGGAGAAAAACGAGTAAGAGATGACATTAAAAACACAGGGACTAAATAATTTTACTCCTTCATACACTTTACTTCTTATCAAAAAAATAACATACATGTAGGAAAGTATTGTTGAATCACATAATGCATACAACATGTATGCATTGGCCTACATATACATAAATACACATCTCAGTGCTTTTTCATGAATGGAACACACATAGGTAACCACCACCCAGGTCAAGAAATAGTACATCCAGAACTCTGGAAGTTCATCTTCCTGCCCTGGCCACTTGCTTCTCCCTCCCCTCAAAAGTCCCCCTTCTAATACTATGTATCAGTTTTGCCTGTTTTTGATCTTCATGTAAACAGAATCATACAATGTGTCCTTGTGTCTTTGTTGGACATTATGTTTATAAGATTTCACCCATATTGTTGCAAGCGTCAATTGTTTATTCATGTTCATTGCTAAATAGTATGTCATTGAATGAATAAAACACAATTTGTCTATCCATTTTATGTTTATAGATATTTGGATTGTTCCCAGTTTTGACCACTGGGAAAATGCATATCCATAAACATGACTTTCTGTTGCTCATATATCTGTTACATATATACCTAGAAGTAGAATTGCTTAATCATTGCCTGTGCATTGGCTCAGTTTTAATATTTGTTGCCAAAAGGTTGTCTAAAGTTGCCGTGTTAATTTACATTCCCATTAATAGTGTATAAGAGTTCCAGTTGCTCTACGCTTTTTTTGTTTGGTATTGACTTTTTTTTTTTAATTTTAGATCTTCTAGAGGGTGTGGAGGTATCTTATTGTGGTTTTAATTTATTTAAATTGCAATTTAATTGTATTTCAAATGAGGTTGAGAACATTTTCATACGTGACTGGCACTTTTTTTCAGAAGTGCTCTTGTAAGTCTTCTGCAACATTTTCTTATATGCTTTCCATCTGTTTCTTATGATTTATTGGAATGTTTTTGTGTATATTTTTATTCTGAGTCCTCTTTTGTGGCTTGCCTTTCTACTTCCTTAATATACTTTTAACAATGAAAGTGTTAATACAATATTATTTATCAGTAAGTTCCCTTATGATTAATGTTTTCTGTATCCTGCTTTAAAAGACTTTCCCAGGGAGTGCTTGGATGGCTCAGTTGGTTAAGTGCCTGACTTCAGCTCACGGTTCCTGAGTTCAAGCCCTGTGTTGTGCTCCGTGCTGACAGCTCAGAGCCTGGAGGCTGCTTCAGATTCTGTGTCTCCCTCGCTCTTTGCCCCTTTTCCCACTCATGCTCTGTCTCTCTCTTTCTCTCTCCCAAAAACAAATAATCATTAAAATATTTAAAAAAAAAAAAAAGACTTTCCCTACTCCAAGTTCATGGGGACATTCTCCTGGGTTATATATAAATTTTATTGTTACATCTTTCATTCACACTTAGATCTCAATATCACTTCAAATTGATTTCTGTGTATGGTAGGAATTTCCTTTGTCTTTTTTAAAAAAATATCAATTATTGTCAATTATCTAGCACAAGAGATAGAAAGATAGGAAATGGCACTAAAATGAGAAAATCTATTTAGTTGTAAAGCAGTCTCAGAATACGATATACATTTGGAATAGTTGGATTTGAAGGTGGGATCCTTATTTATAAAACAGATTGGCAGCTGTCACTATGAAGTCAAAAGCTTTCTTCTGAAAGGATAAGAAAAAGAAATAGAGTGACTTTTTTTGGACACTCGAGAGTACACAACCCCTGGTCATTTATAGTGCTGAGGGAGTAGGCACCTTCCTATTCAGAATAGCTCAGTAGCTTTAGCCAGGGCTGTGGAGTCAAAAAGGACTGGGCTTCCATTTCGGTTCTGCCATTACCTGCTGTCACTGTTCCAGGTATTTAACTCACTGTATGTTCGCAGCTGCACAATTAGAATCACATCCATGTCATGGGCTTAAAGGGTGGAGGCAGTTAGATACCATATGTATTTTGTTCATCATTGTGTCTCAGCACATCCAACAGCTTGTATCATGTAGTAGAAACTTAATACTGCCTTCCCATCAGTCTTATGCTATCATTATTAGTTATTTAGACTCTGATTAGAATAGATTTAGAAGCTTTGCTGAGGAGAAAACGGCAACAGATCATGAGGTAACTCGGAAAACCAGAGACTATCTACTTTACAATTTTGTCAAGACAAAATTAGATGAGACAGCTTAATGTTGACACCCAAGAAGAAGTAGAACATCATCATTTTGAAATGTCCTTGAAAGGCCAGAAATAGAGTAAATAGCCTGCCTTTGCAAACTCAAATAGTGTTAGAAAGACCACTTTAATTTCCTGATATATGGCAAAGCAAGATTGATAAAGAGAAAACTCCACATTTAATCTCTTTAATCATCAGTGAGGGCTTTCATTTCATCTCACCAAACATTCCTGGGAATACACTAGATTCTTCTTCCTCAAAGTGCAGTTCTTGGCCCTGGACTGGCAGCAGTATCACCCAGGAGCTATTAGAAACAGACTTGGGCCCTTCCCCAGACCTACAGAGTCAGAACCTGCATTTTAGCAAAGTCTCCAGGAGATCCTTATGCATTTTAATTTTAAGAAGCACTGATACGGACAGTTAAAGTGCTTACTGATCTCATAACCCACATTTAAAACATAAATTTAGGAATGGAAGCGAGGAGAGAAAGGTTGGGGTTTGGGGAGTCAGACTGAAGAAATGGCAATCATCCTACATAAGGCTAAAGTTATTTGCTAAGGTCATTCTGACTGCGTATCTTGGGAACTAGGCACTGCGTGCTCTTAGCCAAGGTTATTTATCATTCCATTTATCCCAGTTTTTGTTTATTTTCTCCACTGTCTCAAATAAAAATCACAGTGATTGGATCCCACTTCTGCTTTTGATTTCAATCTTAGCGAAAAGAGAACTGCAGACCAAAGGAAGAAGGAAAGGGAGGGAAGGAAGGAGGCAAAGTGTTTAAAGGAAATTGCACCTGACATACAGTCTTGATTTCTCACTCTGCCACAAATTCAGCCAAAAGTCTTTCTCCTTTTCAGCTTCTAACTTAGAAACCTAAACTCTCTATCTATACTTTCTGTGTCCCCCCTTTGAAGAGAAAAACCAGCATGAATGGATTGGGCTTCTGAGTCTCTAAAAAACTGTGTTGTTTATTTGTTTTGTCAGTTGGTTTGTGGAGGTAAACTCTGGTGAGTTAAATAAATGGAATGGGTGGTTCTGATCACAGAAGTGATCTGTTAACCTAACAGTTTGGTAATTTCTAGATGGCTAAGTTTATTCTGTTAAGTGGGTATCCCAAAGACTTACCATTTATGATCAACTATCTTCAGTAGAAGATGATTGTAAAATAATCATATTAGTAACAATCACTAATATGTATGGTTTGATTAATATATGCCAGGCACTGTGCTAAGTGTCTTAGATATATTCCTACATTTTTTTTAAGTTTATTTATTTTTTTGAGAGAGATGGCAAGGGGAGGAGGGACAGAGAGAGAGGGAAAGAGAGACCAAATCCCAAGCAGGCCCCATGCTGTCAGTGCAGGGACCAATGTGGTGCTCAAACCCATGAACCATGAGATTATGACTTGAACTGAAACTACGAATGGAATGCTTAACCAACTGAGCCACTCAGGCACCCCCTACATTTAGATTTCTTAATGATATAATTAGATGAGTTAGGGGGCCCTTATATCAGTGTTCATTTATTGAGTCCAAATATTAAGAGAAAGTAAAAGTCACTATAGTACAAAATATTCACTAATTACTTGACTACTTATAGAATGAATTGCACACAAATAAAATCATTTCTATTTAATGCCAGCATCCCTATACAAGAGCCAAAGTTTCTGTTCCTCAGTTTCTTGTTAATTATGTCAAACATCCAGAAACATAGTGAAAGCCAACAACAAAGCATAATTGTAAATTTTGGAAAAGATGCAGATTTCATGAAGTCAATAAAAAAATATGTTGGAACACTGAAAAGACATTAACAAATGAGGACTTGGCAGAATTTAGAGTAGCTAACAACTGAAAAAGAAAATTAACAAACTGTTGGCAGGTTATCTTTTTATTTTTTTATTATGAAATTTATTGTCAAATTTGTTTCCATACAACACCCAGTGCTCATCCCAACAGGTGCCCTCCTCCATACCCATCACCCACCCACCCCTCCCTCCCACCCCCCATAAACCCTCAGTTTGTTCTCAGTTTTTAGGAGTCTCTTATGTTTTGGCCTCCTCCCTCTCTAACCATTTTTTTCCTTCCCCTCCCCCATGGTCTTCTGTTAAGTTTCTCAGGATCCACATAGGAGTGAAAACATATGGAATCTGTCGTTCTCTGTATGACTTATTTCACTTAGCATAACACTCTCCAGTTCCATCCATGTTGCTACAAAAGGCCATATTTCATTCTTTCTCATTGCCAAGTGGTTTTCCATTGTATATATAAACCACAACTTCCTTATCCATTTGTCAGTTGATGGACATTTAGGCTCTTTCCATAATTTACCTATTGTTGAAAGTGCTGCTATAAACATTGGGGTACAAGTGCCCCTATGCATCAGTACTCCTGTA